GGAAGGAAGGAAGGAAGGAAGGAAGGAAGGAAGGAAGGAAGGAAGGAAGGAAGGAAGGAAGGAAGGAAGGAAGGAAGGAAGGAAGGAAGGAAGGAGGCTTACCTTGTGTTGTCCCGTCCAGTCCCATGAGACATTTCATTGCCCTGATGATTTGCTCTGCTACGGGGGGACACATGGATGTGGCGTACACAGCGCTGTGAGAATGAGTTCGTAAAAAGTCCACGAGGCCCTTACAAAAGCAAAACAAAGCATGAATGAGCTTGGAGCTGGCCAAACAGCAGATCTCCCTCTTAACTACTGCAGGAGTGGGAATGTGCAAAAGGAAGAGCACATTTCACCAGCTACTGGTTTTTGCTTTTTTTGGCTGCCACTGTTAATACACAGCCCGAAGAAACATCAGGCAGGTGCAAATACTTTATCATATAAGTGGGGCAATTACAGCTGAAACAAAAATCTGGAAGAGAATAATGTTTACTTCTGTCTAAGACTTATTATAAAGGAGCCAAAATAATTTCAAGACCAATGAACAGMTGCACTTAAAATAATGCTGCTCAGTTCCTCCCTGGTAATGAAACTAAGGCTGTATGAACTCAGGATAGTTCCTCTGCCACATGAGATAACCCAGGAAAAACAACCTTACTGGAATCTGTCTATATAAAATTTCAATCAAAACTTACAATGAGTGTGTCAGGCACAGTCATGTTAGAGTTGGTATAACGGTTTTAACATTTCCTGGCGTAACTAAGAGCACAATCTGTGCTCTTAGAAATACCATTGATGTACTGTAGGCATATCTAATGCTCCAGTAATTCTCCTGAATTCAGGCACCCAGTAAGAATTCCAATCTTATTAAGGTCGTCATTGTTATAACAACTTAGATCTCCTAGTGCAAAATATCAGAGTAACAGATACCACATTAAAAGCTAAGTGCATGTTAGTGAGAAAGAGACGAGACTGTTTGAAAATTGACTTTGATAAAAAATATGATGAGAAAAACATATCCAGTGAGTGTACCAAAAATTGGTATGAGTCTATGCAGTAACTCCAGTGCTGAGGATAAAGATTGACCCAACCTTACACAGGCTGTATTGCCWTTGTATTCCTAAGGGTTAGGCCAAAAACTAAGAAGGTTTCTGGGCTTCAGCTAATGCAGAATAAACAGTGCCACTGAAGGCTTTTGGCTGCAGAGATGAATGTAAGCTGGTGAATGGGTGAGCAGCTTTCCAAGGCTRAGAACCCTGAGGCAAAGCTTAGTGATACACACAGGCATGAAAAGAGCAACCTGTTTTCACTTAAAACAACTTCCAAGGATTAGAGGAYAAATTACATCAGACTACTTTTCACAGGTCTAATCTTTCTATACTTGACATCAACCACATCATCTTTGGTAAGAAATAAATGCATAGATACAAATTCAGGAAGCCAAGGAAACAAAGAAAATTGACTCTTGATATATTATGACACTCCATTTTAAAATCTCCAGGGGCAAACCCAAAAAAGACAGTAAGAAATACACAGTTTATACTTTCTTATAGCCCTTTTATTCTACTGTAGGGCTACCCTTATTAATGTTATCCTGACAACAACCATATGGGCTGTCTAAACAGGCTTCCCACTCATTCAACAGACTGCTTAAAAAATACATTCAGCTGCGTATCAAAAGAGCAAATAATCAGCAACCATTTGATCTCTCTGTCGAGCAACAAAACCAATGACATTTCACAATGGTGCTGATTATGCTTTCTCTTCTGCACCCCCAGTTAAAGCAAGCTCAGCTCTACTTTCTGTTGACATCTGTTGTTGGCAAGAAATTGTTTTTGTTAATGTACGCAGAGCAACTGAGGACACAGAATTTACTATTGCAAAAGGCCCCCCAGTAACCTCTTTCTCCATTCTCCTAAAAAATGCAACTATGTCAATCCACAACTCTTTAGGAATTTTATTATCAGTGGATGAAACTGTGGTTTTAATCTCTCAATATTGCTCCACACACTGTTTACAAATGCGAAACAAAGTAATGAGCAATCCACATGCAAATTAATGTAGGGAAGTATATTTAGCCAACCACAACATGTCCAAACATTTCCAAGACAAATAACAATCATCAGGGTGGCAGAGAAATAACTCAACTCAAGCAAATTACATAATGTGAATATGAGACAAAAATAAGAAGTCTGACTGYTTGATGTGCATTTGGGATCCAGGCAAAAATGATGCTAACTTTAGAATAGTGGTCATGTTAAGCAGTCTGTGCAAAAAGATACTGAAATATATCATATATAATGTGAAGGCTGTTCCCACACCCTTGATGTGAAATTGTTGATGATTTCCTTTTACCTTTTTGCCAGCTATGTATCCTCCAGCTGCGCCGAAGCTCTTTGTGAACGTTCCCATTAACACGTCGACATCATCGGGACTCATTCCGAAATATTCCACAACTCCWCGGCCCGTTGCTCCCACTGCACCGATGCTGTGAGCTTCGTCCAAGTAGAGGTAGGCTTTGTATTTGTTCTTCAAGGAGACTATCTCTGGCAGGCGCACGATGGACCCTTCCATGCTGCACGTGGAGACAATCAAGGATGAGCAACAAACCTTGCACRCTTTCTGATCCTGGCAGAAACGATGCCATTAATTGCTTTATTCCACCAAAGTTCTTGTAGAATCTCAATTTTTACTTACAAGTCAAAGAAAACTTGCAACTCTTTCCCACTTGTAGGTGAGTATAAAACAGTCAGTTTTAGAATTCAAACAATCAAAACCAGTCAAAAAGTCTTTGAACATTTATAAATTGTCAACACGCCAGAGGAGGGAAGRAAAGGTGTAAAGCACATTACAGCTCATCTCTACAAAACAAATATTATAAATAACTGCTATAATTCAGACAGGGCCTTGCTGACTTCATCATCAGCTACTGTGGCAATATTTGGGCATAACAGCTCCAGAGCAAACTCATCTGGTGCAAAGGAGTTGGGTCCAACATACACAGGAGATGGGCCATGTGAAACCCACAGCTGGTGCCATAAACTCTAAGCAATTCCAGTCTTCAGAGAAYTAGGGATTAAAACAAGCAGCTGAAATCCAGCCTTGCCAATTTTTGCTCTCAATATGTACTTTTTAGGAAATGTAGCCTGCTACCTAGTAATCAAATGAAAAAAAAAAAGTTTCCACTCCTTTTCTTTTTATTTTCTTACAGCCAAGCAGAAAAAGGAAATATTYTGAACTGGCACAGGCTGCCCAGAGAAGCTGTGGATGCCCCATACCTGGCAGTGTTCAAGGTCAGGATGGATGGGGCTCTGAGCAACCTGGTCTGGTAAAAGGTGTCCCTGCCCATGGCAGAGGGGTTGGATCAAGATGAGCTTTCAGGTCCCTTCCAACCCAAACCATTCCATGATTCTGTGATTAATGGTGCATTGAGATTTATAGAAACAAGACAAGATGATAGATCTTTTGCATTTTTGGCAGTCATGTCAGTGAAGAGAAGGCACGGAGGAGGTGTCCAGCAAAATGAAAGCCCAGGGAAATAAATAACAAATGCTCTCTGATCCTGTCAAGATGACACATCCACAGTATTGCTGTGAAGACTTATGTCTTGACRACTTTGTGAGATGACTACAGCTATGCTCAGATATGCTCAGATGCACTCAGATCCATTTCATGAAGAGTTAAATGTGTTCTCTTCCACGAAGAGAAAGCTCTAGCAAGCAGGTCTTTAAAAACTGAAAACTTCCTGTCAAACACAAAGCCTTGTGTGCCATGCGCCAGGAAAACCAGGGCTCTGTGGCTAAGGCTAATGTGTATCCACTTGCAAATGCAACCATTTTCAGGTGAGTGGAAAGGTCCCAAGTAGCAAGTACTATYGAGCAGTGCAATCAATAGTGTCTTGGAAATTTTTAGATCCTGGACCAGCYTTTCACAGGCTGCTTTGCTGCCACTCTGCACCGTGCAGCTGGAAGTTTGGCACCGCCAAAGGAGCAGGATGTGCTTTAGCACTCAGGAAACTTCTGCCAATTTTAGTCCTTCATCCTTCGGTCTCTGAGTGAGCTTGGAAACTGTTTGGTCTCCAGTTTTGAAGGAGACCTGCCCCCAGGCAAGTGTCCATTAGTGTAACAGCACAGGGGAGTAGCCAYGGACAAGGGATCCCTGTGCTGTTCACACTGGGAGGTTCAGAGAGCCTGGCTGTGTGCGCCTGGAGGCATTTTTTTGGCTGTTGGTGACTGCTGGCAAATCTTGCCCTTCTGTCTCACCCAGCCATAAAAGAAGCAGCTGTGGGACTGTATGTTGGCACCACGGCCCCTCGCAGCAAAGAAGGGTGGGCTTGTATTGCAAGCTCCTGAGGGCTGGGCTTTCTCACTTGTCCCAAATGGCTCTTGGCAGCTGGGGGAGAAGCAACTTCAAGCGCCACAGCTATTTTCCTAGTGAATGCAAGGGCAGAGCCCACAGTCCTCACACAGCCCAGAGTCAAAGCATTAGTCAGCTAAAATGCCASCGAGGCACTGGGTGGGTCTGCAGGGTGGCCAAGGAGCACCTCTGGAGGAAGGGAAGCTGCCATCCCACCCTCCGCCTCCCAGCAATGCCTGGGCACACCAGCCAGGCAGAGAAGGAAAGAATGTTTCTTCCACACTTAAATGGACATCATTAGGTTTGAAATCTTATGGAGGTTCAGGCAGGAGAGACAGCATTTAACTTCAAAAAGGGAAGAATAAAAAATGGTAAATTAAAAATGCTGCCTATTTGTGTAATGGAAGGAAAGTTGTGCTGAATCCCAGAATACACGAAACTGGTACATGGCTGRTGCAAGATTTAACCATTTAGAAGATTTAATGAAAGATTTTGTTATTCATATGTGTAGATTTCTCTTAGAACTCTAAGCCCTCTAGCAAACATGGCACTTTTATTCAGTTTTTTTATTTTAGTTTTGATTTATTGCTCTTGAAAGATGTCGGCTGACAGAAGTGTTATAATAATTGACGGAGGGCCTAAAGTGGGGTAGATAAAGTGCTGTTGGAGTCATGCATATATTCTGTGCTGCCACCCAAACAGGTCTCAGCCCTCCTGATGGCAGAGATGAGAACTGCTGCCTCTCTGCTCCTGGTCTCTCTKTTGGCACTGGCAGATGGTCAGGGATRCACACACCACTCTGTCTAGAGCTGYTTCAGATAAATCTCACTTCATGCAAGCCCTTGGGTAGCCCAAAGGGAAATTTTACCAGATCCTTCAGTAAATGTTGAAGTGATGTCAAGTGATCTTAAACCAGAGAGCCAGAAGTGAACTGTAATGTTTCTGTCTTACTCTGGCTATGCCACTTAGCTTTGTGTACAAACAGCTATTGTGTACAAACCCATTGATCTGTTTCCAGACCTTCTCAGACACACAGGGCGTATAAAAACCCCCAGATGCAGATGAACTAAAGCTGGCTCTGCTCAGACCAGGTGCTCTCATTATGTGGTTTGACATCCTGTCTTGTAGCACAAATTCTTAGCTTGGTGGCAGGAACAGAAAGCTTCTAGATTGCAGCTGGCAACTGCACCTTGTTTGGTGGACAGGCACAAAAACTTGAGTTAGTACACACCCAGTTTGAACCTACTTCCAGGAGTTAGGAGATAGGATAATACTAAGTTTTGAGAACACTTGAGTTTGAAACTTGATTCAATCTAACCACTGATGCTCTTCCTGATGGAAAAGATGAATTGTGGACCAAGGTGCTTTGAGAGACAGGAGTGGCACGCTTGTGATGGTCACTTCACTTGGGACACAGGCTCACCCTTGACACGATACTGACTTTTTTTTTTGCCCAGTTTACTTTGAAACTTCTTGGGCAAAGAGGTTTCTACATTCTACCATGGTACCACAGTTTCCATTTTTTTTTTCCCGTCAGAAAGACTAATTAACCAATATTCCCCGTGTTATCTACTTCACAATTTCATCACTCAGCATCTCTAGACATGTTCTACAGTACCACTATCTTTTCACCATTTGAAAAGTTTATCTGTTCCCCTTTCAGGCTAGTTGTAATTGGAAAAATCCCACCTTTCCTGGCCTGCTACTCCCAAGATGCATGCATTCCACTTCAACAGTTACTTTACGTACTGTTTTCTTAAATAAGCCTTGCACATGCATACAACAAGCTCTGTTGTGTAGTTTAGAGCAGTAATTTTAAGGAAATCTTCCAACTCTGCCTCAAATACATCTCCATTTCAACATTGACATGATAGAAATGTTAACCTTTAATGCTGGTCCTTGGCCAAAGACATTAAATGTTACCTCATTCTTTTCTGGAAGCCCAGACACTTAATCCCAGGAAATAAAAAATAACCCTGATAAGTTTCCTATGCTATTGGAATTGAATCCCAAGGAACTTCTAATGCACATGAAAAGGCATTGAACAATATCTAACTGATCARAACTATTTTCTTAGCTGGAAGGGAAAATGCACAAATTAAATTAAAAGCAGGGGAAAAAACAAATGAAAACCAATCGGTTTCGATCAGTTTCTGATGCCCCAAAACTCCTGCCCTGGGCCTTGGCCTATCTGACTCCTAAGTAAAAATGCATGGAGGAGAGCAGAAGCCTACCACAAACCATGTAAGAACACAGTAACTGATTAATCCTGAACTGGAAATGGTAGAAGCCAAGGAAAACGTTAGCTGGAATTCAAATAATAAAAATATGATTTAGCAAGTCAGTTTAATTTGTGCCCTGGTCACTGCCAAAACTTGTTCATGCTTTTTGGAGTCAAGATTGATGGCTAGATGGTTTCCCTCAGTTTGGAACACAAATGGAAKAGATTTGCTCCTAGGCCGGTCCAAGTTAAGAACCAGCTTTCACTAGTAGTTACATTTACTTTTGATGATTTTTTTTTMTTTTTAAGATAATAGAGACATTAAAARGCAAACAAACATATACTTATTGCTATTTATTTGACATGTTGCTTGAGTGCTTCCCAAGTTGAGGGGCCCATTCTGCCTTCAGTTGTAACCAAGCAAAATCTGTGGTTTATGGTTTCAAACACAAGTCTGATTTCCAGAAATATGTTTGGCTAACAATGACCCTTTTCAAATTTTGCCAGCTGGTAAGCCTAGCTATATGCACAGTGTAAACACTTGAAGATACTCCTAATGGAAACAGAAGGCAAATTTCTTTCCATACCATAAACTTCACCATACTAAGACTATGGTGTCCCATTTAACARTATATTTTTAAGGAAGGAAAGCTTAGCGTTTTCTTTTACATCTCTGGAAAAAGCATTTCTGTAGAAATTTGCCAAGCCAAACTTGCAAATCAAGATGTTTTAACTTGGAGAATGGTTCTGACCAAGTTATTTAAATTCTATATTAGCTGTCCCTGAAGCATAACTTTAGGAAAAAATAAAAACCAGTATTAACTATTGTAAGAAGAAYATATTGACTACAYTCTACCTCCTCTTAAACCYTATTGATGAATGTTAATTTGGCATTTGGCAAATCTTCAAGAAAACTAACATTAGCCAATATGGGGCTGGAAAATTTTAGTCTTTCAAAAATCCCAGGCCAAGAAAGGAAAGAACATGCACACRAAAAGAGTAAGAGTATTTCTACTCTGTCCTTCTCCATTTTTTTTTTTTTTTTTTTTTGCATATGAAATGTTCTTAGCTACCACCTGGCTCAGACTGTTCCCAGCAGTGCCCAGGGCCAGCCTGGCTGTGCATGTCCTGGGCTGGTGGTGGTGGCAGGGACATGGTGGCATTCACCCTCAAAGCAGATTTGCTTTACAATCAAACAGTACTCTACAATTTCTGATCTGGTTAGACTGGGAAAACAACTAACTAACTAACTAACTAACTAACTAACTAACTAACTAACTAACCAACCTAGCTACTGCCAGGGCTATTTTCCAATGAGAGACTGTTAGAGAGCTGAGCTTTGTTTTTCTTTTACTTCATGCTTTTCAGAGGCATAGACACTCAGGGCATGAGTGGTCTTTGCTTTACTTAGCCTTTATGGAGCTGAAGGAACTTTATGGTTTCCTTTTTAGGTACTCTGAGGTTAAACATGATTTTATTTTGCATTCCAACAGAAGGTTCTTTGAACTTTGTAAAATTTAATCTCGTTTGAGAATGAACKGCGAAACTAGAGGAAAAGAAAACTCTGCATCAAACATAAATCTGGAAATACAGTTGTAAGTTAATATAGTTAAATAGCTGACAGTGGGTTTGTCCCACTGCTTGGACTGATCCATGTCTTTGTGTTACCAGTCTACCTCCTCGCTCCCTAGTGGTCAATATTCAGGGTAAAGGATTTAACAGTGAACAAAGCACAGCAGCTGGAGCGTTTTCTGCCAGCCATGTGATGGATGGGAACATTTGTCAGTAAAATGTTGGTGGTCCACTTAATATCTGCATGATSAAAGTCCTTAAATCTGAGCTTTCCTTTAGTAGTGCCAAGTGATGTTTATTTGTAGTTTTGCTCTGTTTATTCTGGTTGAAAGGACACGTTCAGCCTGCTTTGGATCAGCTGATCTGCTGCCGACCTGTTTCACCTCTGAGTGACAGGTGTTTAGATAAGGACCAACTTGGTCTCTTTGCAGATGGAAAATGTTAGGCAAAAAGAAAGCACTGACAACTATGAAGTTGTGCTGACATGAGATTATAAAAGATTTCTTACAAAAAAAAAAAAGCTAATTGGCTCAGCTGTGCCAGCATTTTTCAGTAAAATGGCATAAGTGACTGCCCATCCAGACTGGCTGTATTTCAGCAACACATGATACGATCCTTACATATAAAGTGTAATGCCACTTTTACAAACCATGTCATGTGCTGTGAATGAGTGGTTCTGGCTCCCTTCTCTCTGGGGCARGTGTCACTACTCCCCAGACAGCCCTTGTCCTGCTCCCCCATCTCCTGTCCAGATCCCTGCAAACCCTCTGACTGCCCAAACTCTGCCTTTTCAGCCCTTCCTGCTTTTCCCTTCCCCAACTCCCACCCATCAGTGGATCCCCCTCCATGAGCCCCTTGGCTGCCTTCCCAATGACCTTTTCCAGCCTGGAGCAGTTKCCAGGATGGAGCCCAGGAGGGTGAGCCTGGCTGGTGCCACAGCTTTGCTGCTCAGCTGCAGTGAGTGTTTGCCTTTCTGGCTGGGTGTAAGCTGCATCACACAAGTGAACCAGAGCTATCTGACTGGGATGCTCTACAATTACACTGTATTATTGATGCTGATATTATCAGATGGATTCTCAGAGGCATTTCCCTCATTTGGATTCCTCCAGGGACTAGGGCTACATTAAATACCACTATATAGCTTCTTGAAAGCAAGTCTTTTAATATTTTCCTGTTAAAGAGTGAGTCTATCAGATCCAGCTCTAGTTACTAGAAAGGTACTGATATCACTTAGCCTAAGTTTAGCTTGAGATCTAAGATTCCAATAGCTGGGCAAGAATGGTGCATGCAGAGTTTAATTAATTCTGTGTAGCTGTCTTTTGATCTGCCCATGTGTAACAAACAACTCYAGAAAGCTCAGCTTGCTCACCTAGAAGTCCTCAACAAATATAGCTCCAAGAACTTTATCGCATCTGTCCCAACATACATCAGCTGATCTGTCTGCTCTCACAGTACAACTCCCATTCTGCTGTGATTTGCTAAATCAGGATCWATTTGGAGCTACAGGATCCAGGGTTCAGGCTGACATAATGGAAAYCAACATATTTACGAGATCACAGAATGTTGTTGTAACTTCCACTCATTAAGATTTCCCTCAGATACCCAGATTCAGTTTGCCCCACTCAATTCATCATTCTGTCCTCAGAAATGACAGAACACTCATCTTTCTTAAACACAAACATACCTGTAAATGCCCTCCACAAGGATGATAATTTTTCTCCATGCTCTGTGGGTGCGAGGCTGTCCATATACTATTGCATCTCTCAGCAACTTTTCAAGGCTCTGCATATCTTTATTTAAAAATAAGAAAAAGGAGGAAAACATTAACAAAGGTTTTTCTAAAGAACTTTTGATTTTCTCCTGGCTGCTATTTTTCCTATACAGAATAAAACATTTATAAAAAGTGTCCTAAACTTCCTCTATTAGTAGGCAAGACCCAACAATTCATTTAATTGGTGTGAATGCAGTCTAGTAACAAGAAGAGTTATAAAAAGCTTCAAGTTATGCACCTGATCTGGGGAACATCAAGAAATCTTTGCCATACATTTTAATTTAAAGGCAAAAGGGAATCACTTTGCTTAAGTACTGGGGCTGATTGCCAGCAGTTCTCTGTAGGGGTTGCTGATATTCAGAATTTCTCAAGGCTTCGATTGTAAGTCTTTGGTTGCTCTCCAATCACAGGCTCAAGAAAAACAAGCATTGTGTCAGCAAAGGTTTTGACAAGGCTGCATCAGGCACGTCAGGATGGCAGCAAAAGTCTTGTCTTTCTCAAGAAGGAAAGCAAGTGGAAGGTTGCTGATGACAGAGAAAGAGACAGCTGGATACAAACACATGGCACAGATACAATAATTTGGTGCCTAAATGCTAGGCACTGGTGCGATTTCAGCATTAGGAGGCCTGGAACCATGTTGTGACTCTTAGCTGCTTTCTTAAGGGTTGAGTTGGGGTCACCTAAAAATATTCTTGAAGGAAAACCATTGACATTTTGAGAAACATGGAAGAAGCAAGAAAAAAACCACCACAGAAATCTGGGTCAGACAAAATGTGGCTCTCAATGCACCAGCATTCTGGAGTCTTCAATGAATGGACATTCTCCAAAATTAATTATTCTGGTACTTTTCAGGAATCTGGATTGATATTTCAAAATTATTTCCAAGAACATCCAACAGAGTCTCATAATACTCCAAGGAGCACTACAGATCAGCTCAAACTGTGGGCTGAGAAAATCAATGGCATTTTTTCACAATATAACCCCATTCRCTTCAGCAACACAACTCAGTTGATATAAAATTCTATAATAGCACAAAGTTAATGTGTAAAAGAAATCATCCCAAGTAAAGAAAATACCCCTTAGGAACATTAATACTGACCTATAGTTTGGTTTGTGCCCGAGGGGAATGGGCCATTTGCACATTAACTGCCCATCATGAGTAACCTGTGCCCTGAGACATGGCCAGGTTATGACCCAAACCCTTCCCTGTCCTGATGCCTCACTCTTCCCGGGAACATTCAGTGATGCTGGTGAAAGGTGAAGCTCWCAGCAACACCTCTGCGACTCAGCACCTGAGCGAGCCAGTCCTTGGTGCACTTTACAAAGCACAAAACCACCCATGATTCTATCAGTTGCCCCTTATTTCAGCACAGSTCAATGAGCTCTGAGATGGAAATGCTGTTAGGAATGGTGAATGCAGACAGCACAGTTTCCACTAGATGGCAATCAAGGAAATGAAAGTTCTTTGGTGCTTTATAAGGGAAAGTTGTAACCAAGCTGAGCATTTGCAGCTGCTCACATTCTCTTTTGTTTTGAGCAGATAAGACATAGAATTCCTCTTAAAGGGCTCCCTCAGGATGACATAAAGCTCACAGTAAAATCCAGACACCCCCTTTCCTCTACTGAATTATTCTCTACTAATGTCACTGTAATCTAAATCCTCTTGGGACCTTTTAAACCYTCTTCTGATTCACATGAAGTTTTTCAATTCAGTGTTCTGTCTTCACATCAGTCCAGATTGGCTCTAGACTTCAGGAAAGTAATTTTGCCTCTGAGCGAAAAGCATGGCTTGAAGTTTCAGTTGTTTCAGCACACATTCATGTGAAAAAAAAAAAGGAAAGATGAGATGAAGTTAAATGTATATGATTTTGTTTAAAAAAAATACTTGTCTGTGAATAGGTCTTCTGTCTAGACTACTGTTGAACATGAGACCACAGACTGGGGATAGCCTCTCTGAGGGGTGGGCTTGCTTAATTTTACACATAATATAGTCCTGCTGGAGTACAGGCTAAAAACATGTCTGTGTSCAGGATCAGGGATATCTCGTTTTCTTTTTGATGTCTCATTCTGTAAAACATGTATTTGTGACCCTTTCTGAAGCCTGTWATAGTCAACACATAATTTGTTCAGGTGTGAATGAATTTAACTGACCTATTAACTCTGTGCTCGTAGTGCCTCATTTGGAATGGGAAAATAGGCAGGAAGAAAAAATCTGTAGCCTTTAATATTCCCCACAAAATGCTGCTTGTTTTTCAAAGTGAAGAATAGAAAAGTGCTCCACGTGCTTGTGCTCAGGCTTTTCAGAGAGTGGGATATACTGAATGACAGAAAAAGCAACAGTGCAACCCCAGGTGGCTTTCAGATATCAAATTATTTGCCCATTAAATATAGCTAGATTGAGAGACATTAGGACATCAAGATGATGAGCTGCACAAGTTATTCCATCTTGAATAACCAGTGATAGGGAAAATAACAGTCCTTCCTTGTTTGACCACCATCGGCCCATGGTTTTCAGTGGCAATGGCCAACAACGGCTCACCAGCCCAGGGGGTGATGTTAAGAGTTTGACTTGATTAATTAGTCAAAACACACCCAAATCTATCCATGGTTCACTTTCCACCTTCTTTTAGCTCATTGTCTACGGATGGAGGATCAAATTTCCTAAGAGGGGACAGTAGATCTATCAGTGGGTCGGTGGAATAAAAATCATAAATCTTGTTTGGGATCTTTCAGAGTTATTTCAAGAGAAACACAAAGAACACAAAGTGCCAGTGGGCTGGAGCGAGTGTGGACGTGGGCAGGCAGTGTGTCATGCTGCCTCCAGTGCAGGTGGGACAGCAGGATCCTGCAGGGAGCACAGCACGTTCAAGGTGTCTCCACCCCTCATCCTTACACTGCAATGCTGGGGATGTCATCACCAGTCCTCTGTGTGGGCTGGAAACCTCCTGTGTGATGGCAGCTGAGTCCTGTTTGATGAAAATAAACAGGCTGCTACTACTCTTGTCACATTCTTCTTTTCGCTTTGTGCTTGTAACTCTGATTTTCAGCTTCTCTCCTTTTGCACTCTCATCGAGTTCATGGCTACACACGAATATCTTTGTTTGGAACATGGGAATGTTGGTCAGTGCAGCCACAGGAACAGTTCCTGCCCCTCAATAAATACAGATCTCTCTGAAAGTAAAGGGAACTGGCCTGAGAAAGCTCCCTGCTATCACTTGGCGAGTCAGACGTGGCTTTCTCAGAGCAGAGAGGGCAAATGCAGACACAGCGTGCAGGGAGCAGGCCAGACCAGTCTCCTGGCTGGCAGMGTCAGTGTGTGTCACAGGGACATACACACCCAGCTGGATGAGGCTGCASTCCATCTATCTGGGCAATAATCTTGTCTCTGATAGTGGACACGGGCTGCAAGGAGCACAAAACCTTAGTGGTAATGTGCTTTTCATCCTGCTCTGTTATAGATATAACGCTGCCCTCCCTTCTGAAATKCAAGRGCTGAMCAAMWCACTTGGAAAAAAAWTTAAAAATTAAGGAACCTGTCCTGTACTAAACCACCACAAACTCTTTAGGTTTTGCAACCAAAGAGATATCTTTCTAATTTTTACCTGTTTATTTATCTTTCATTCCCCCCTAATTTATTTGCTTGCTTGATTMRTTGCACTTAGTTTTCCACTTTYCTTTTTCTTTTCTTTTGTTCTTCTTAGCTAGAGAAAATATTTGCATTGAAAGGTGAAGGCCTTCTACCACCTAGGATTTTCCTCTGTATTAACTACAACTCCTCCAAGTAGCAGTGGTTTCTCTTTMAGGTGTCCTCATGGCACTTGTATTTGAACTCCAAAGCAGTAATTTAACTGAGTAGACTGAGAGCTGGATTAATATAAATTCACATTTGTCCAAGTTGAAAACTATATTTTGTATGGAAACCTAGACAGCTCACACTTGCATCACACACTTGTCATCAACCACTTGATTTGTGAGAAACTAAAAAGTCCCTTACTGCTTTCACAATAGTGAAAAGGTGCATAAGGAGGAGCTCGGAGTGTATTACCCTGATTCCCACTTCAGATGTGGATTCAAGCACCAGATTAGARGCTGGATTTTCACCTAACCAAGGTGCTTGCTTATGCTTTGCAATTGCCTGCTCTCCTCGTAGGATCACTTGTTCTGATTGCTCAGTGAAGTGCCCTTGCAATGAGGAGAACTGGAAATATTTTTTCCCCCTGTGGCCTGATTTCTGTACCTTGTCATGACATACCCACACACTGCTCAGGCAATTGTAAATCTGAACCTGAAAATGGAACTACAATTGAATTGCTTGATGCTACATCGAAAAATGTGGTAGAATTAGAAAGAATRGACAGATCTTAACCTTGCATGGTGCCTTCTTTTATAGGCTGATAAGAATAGAAATCATTTGGATGTAGTTAGTCTGTAACATCCCCATCTGTTCACTGAAGGAACACCTGATAACAGTATAAGACTCAGAATTGCTGTAAAAAAAAGCCCTTGATAAAATCAGGCTGATTAATGGTTAAATATTTGGTTTTGCTTTTCAGGTTTTATTGGAAAGGTCAAGGGATTTTGGCTAATACTTAACCAAGATAAAGGTCAGAGGTCTGGAAAAAGGGCTTTTAAATGTATGGTATTCTTAAAAGAGTGCCTTAGAAATCAAACAAAAAGCCAAAAACCAACAGGTGAGAAGTCAATTTGTCTCTGAGCCAGGAAATAAAAACATCTGAGTTAAGCTCCCCTAGATCCAAAGGACCCCCAAGCCTGGGAAGGAAGGTGGGAGAGACTSCCTGGAGCCCAAGGCTGGGGAAGGAACAGCAGAAAATTCCTGGCACAAAACTAAGCAAGGCCAGGCCACCACTGTGAGATGTTTTACCCTCCCACCTTCTCCCACTGCATACTGGCTTTTGCACTGGGCTGTGCCTGCATTCCCAATGCAGTAATGCAGCTCTTTCCTATCTTCCCAGACAAATCACTGCCTGGGAAATGGAAATTGAATGATGCCCCCACCACAGCAGGGGAAACAAAAGGCAGGTGCTTTATGGGCAGGTCAGAATGRTTTTAGTCCACTAAAACACTACTGCATACATTAAGGACTGCTTAGACCCTAAAATAAAATTGAAAAAGAWATTAAAATGCCCCAGACCTGTTCCTCAGTGCAGGGGCTCCAGGGAGCTGAACTTTGCTGCTTGCATCCACAAAAACTCACAAATGCCTGCCACAGARAATCTCCCTTAAAGGCCAAAACCCCTGTGCCAATACTGGTATGACCTTGGAAGGGTCAAGACTAGAGACAGTGYTAATGAGAGCCCAGAGGAAGGGCTTTTTTGAGTTATGGACCTAAGGTGGAATATTCYCTTACATTTCTCTCATATGGATGATGTGTAGGTGTGTGCCTGTGCCTTTCTCTCAGCCTAGGCCTATAAATTCCTGTCTGTTTACAAGGAAGGAATTGTTCACTGGCAGGCAGGATGCAGGGTACATTCCTGTGTCCAAATAAAAACGACTTATAGGTCCACAGCTCATTTTTGTTCTATTATTCACCTTAAGGCCTGAAAAACTTTTCATACACCTGTGCAATGTTTTTGTCAAAAGGGAAAGACTTTCAGATGCCTTTAATTTCTCCTAGGAAAAGCACAGAAGTCTAAGAATTTTGTCTGTTCTAGAAAAACGACTCTGATTTTTAATGGAAAGTATAATGTCTAATTATAACCACTTATTGAAATAGAGCTTAATTAACTTTTGTAAGAATAAAAATTACATTGCTAAAAAATAAAAATTACATAACTAAGGTAATAGAGATTCTTGTCTTACAAATGAAATAATTCTCTATTTATAATAAAAGAGTTATTATTTACTTTTGAAAGATCAATCCAATATTACTGATTTCACGCTTTGAAATAAAATAACACAGTTTTACAGAATTAGCTGTAGCTCAACCTTTGAAAGAAAAAGGCAAGTTTGACATGAAATGTTTTTACTCTATTTTATGTGAAATACTTTTTTTGTAGAACAAAGTTTTGTATAATTTTTCTTTGACAAATAGTTTTTCCATAACAGCGGGGAAAAGAAACAGGAGAGAGATTTACATGCTTGTTAGAGAAGGATTTTACTGGCACACATCTCTGCAGGTGTTTTTGGTGTAATATTCAGGAAGCAGTTAGTTCAGAAAATATATCATTGTTTCACTAAATTGTTACAGAGTTTTTCCTCCTCATTTTGATACCCATTTATAATGACTACAACAAACATTCACACCTCACCCATCTCCCAATGTCTCTTTCACACCTATGGAAGAGACAAAGGATGTGGAAGCCAAAGTAAACATGTTCCAGGCAATCTTATCAAGGGTATTACACAGCATTTCAAGAGGCAACAGAGAGCATGGAATAAAGGCTGACTTCTCAAGTGGTGTTGTAAAAACAAAAGGGGAACTTCCCAAGTCTGCTGCCTGATTGGAATGAATTTTGATTTTCCTGCACAGAAAGCACATCTCTGGCACTAGTGGGGCACCAGCTGGAAACTTTGTCTTTAGTGTAGGCTGATAGTGGGTCAAACAGAGCAAGTCTGTGAGTGTTTGTGCACCTTGCTGGAGAATTGTTCCAGCTGCTCCTCAAAGGGCCCTAACCATGCCTTTGACACAGTAACATCCTGCAGCTGATGCCCAGGGCCTGGTTCTTTAAAGGATCATTGATTTTTGTGCATGAAGTGACATCTGTCCATCCCCTGTACATGCAAAGAAGAGGTGAAGGGTATTCCCTTTTCTGTCTAGAACACAGGGGAGGGTTTCCAAAAGCAAGACAAAACACATTTTTATCTGATAGTGAAATTAATGCTTATTAAGGATCTTAAAGCAGTAACTTAAAGTGCAAAGTCTTCTATTCATGCACAGGGCCAATCCAGCACAAGGAACCTTGCTTTCCCATCAAAAAATGTGACATGGAGCATGGCTCAATTCCCCCATTCCTCAACATGACAATGACACTCTGACAATTTGGGCATGCCTGAATATGTCACATACTCCCACATCAGCAAGAAAGAATCTGGGAGCATAAGCAACATAGCTCTGATCTACTGAAATAAGCATCTGTCTAACTGAAAAGAATCCTCAAACCCAAGCTGGAAGTTTTGGTTACTTAATTAATACAGTTTTGGGGCTTAATTAATTTGCTGTACTGATTTGTATTACGTTACTCCCCGACTGATTCAGAGAGAACAACACTGTCTGCTTCATTTTGGATGAAACCATGCATCCTTCAAAGGCAGTGCTGCTGGATTACACTTTTCACTGCTCTCCCCCAGTACACATCCTATTTGCTCCTAAGCAAAAGGCACCTACATACATCTCTGCACGTTTGATTTTAGTTGTTAGTGATGTGTCACTCATGGGTATGATTAAGGAAAAATTAAATGATTGAACTTTCTAACCATAGAAAAAATAAGCTGAGGGGCTCACAGTGGCCCAAGAGAAAGCATGAGTGTGTGAAACTTCTTCACATGTTCTCTAAATGCAGCTTAGGCTCAAGGCTACAAAAATTGTCACTCATTCATGACAGTATTTGCAAAAGTTTTCACAGTTTTGAAATAAGAAAAGGTGATGTCTTGGCAATGGCATAAAAGACTGTCTTCAGCAAATAAAATCTCAAGTTTAGAAAGCAGTGAGTTTTTCCAAAGCAACTTGGATAGGCTGCCACTAAAGGTTTGCCAAAATCCTTAAAGGAATTGTCTGCATTTTCCAGTGCTGGGTGAGTGCTGTTTGGGTATCTCACTATTATTTTTGGGTTCACCCATTATTCGGAAGAGCATCAGCTTTAATTTATCATCAGTGCAACAGAAGGTCATTAGGTATCAGGTTCTGGGGAGTGGAATGAAATATCAAGGGGTGGTTAGAGACCAAATTCCTTAAAGTGAGCACRACAGCTCCAGGTGACATCTTCACAGCTGAGGGTAAAACACTCCTCAGACTGGAATGTTACTTGAAATGATGTGGGAAGTGACACAAGCAAGCTGACCTTCATGCAGCACAGGTGGGTGGACAGGCTGAGAACATTTAGATTTGGGTAGCAAGAGGTCATCCTGCAAGATGTGATGTAAACTTGATTGAATGGGATAAGGCTTTGAACAACTAAGGAAAAGTCGAAAAAAACCTGGTATGGCAACCATGCTTAGTACATCTGGATTTGGGGGGATGCTACAGGTCAATCTATGAATAATTAATTCTGTAAAAATATTCATGTTCAGATGGTCTTGAATTCTTGAATGATTCTCAGAAATTGCTTCTTGCCCAAATTATGAATAGATATTAATTATAACAACATCTTTTAATTACAGTATGCTTTTCATTCCTACTCATCCTTAGGCCTTTTACAGCATATGCATAATTCATTTTTGCTCCCCTTGGGGYTGAATACAACACTTAATAAAGAGAAGGGATTGCATTAGCTGTTAAGAAAGGTAATCAGACCTCTCTTCTAATTCCTCACCATTTCTCTAGCTCCTAAACCTCTCTTTCAATCACTGCCTGGTGGTAGCAGTGAGGATGGAAAGAGGAATTGCAATGGGGAATAAAGGAAAAGAACAAGCTCTTRTTATCAAAGGCAGTCCCAAGGTCTCTGACAGTAACCACAGCAACATTTACTAAATGAAAGTTAAAGAGCGTGAGCATTTTAGAAGACAACTATAYAATTGCAAAGTTCATGTGAGATTTCTGTAATAAAATTCTACTTCAAACAAAGCTTGGGATGATGCTCTTGGTACCACCATCTGCATCTTTGGTGTTAGATCCCTGCAAATTCAGAGTAACCACTTCAAAGGAATACCATTTTAATGTAATTCTGGTTTCACTGTACCTGCTGGAAACAGAGGCATGTTTTTGCAAGTATGTTTCTACTGTTTGAGCTACAATGACAATAACAATAAAACCTTTGTGACAGCACACACTTGTCATTCAACAAGTCAAAAATACATAATAGCAATTAAAGAATTGAGCTATTATTTTTCCCATCAGAAATCACTCCCAACATTAAACAGTTGATCCTCATGCCTGGACAGAAGTGTGATTGGGAACTGACAGCAAAGTCAGCATTGAAGGGAAGAATTCTTGCCTTGGAGATTTGAACAACTGTCTCTAAATTTTTACAACTTCAATACTCACTATTATGCTTGAAGATTCTAATAGTGGCACCTGAGAGCCTCGCACCGAGAACGAGAGAAGTGTGGTTCAACTCATCACTTAAAATGAGGCAGCCCTGTGGAGAAGGAGCACAATGAGCATCTGCATGAGCTGGGAGGCTGCTGACACCTGTGCATGTGTGTGCCAGCGTGATAAAACATTGCACCAATTAAACTTTAAGGACTAAACATGAAATGGTTGTTCCTGAAGGTGCCAGGGTGCACTGAAAAGGCAGGCAGAAATAGTGGGATCAGACTGTAAAGCATTCAGGTGGTGCATAGGGGTCAAATATTTCCTGTAACTGGAAAGCAGCAGATAACCCTATAAAGATTCACTCTGCTTTGTACTAAAATTAGGTGATATTGCTTCCTCTATCACCTGCCCACAGCCCATTTGGAGTTGTAAGGAAAATGCAGCCACCATCCCATGTATAAACATTGTAGGATGGTAGTGTAAGGAGGAGTGATACTGAGGCTGGACTGACATCAACCCTTCCAACTGCAGAAATGAAATCAGGAGACATTGACACCATCCATTAAGATGTGAGTGAAGTTTAGGAATCAGACTTGCTCTAATAAATGCATATAGAGTTGACCTGTAGTATACTTTTTATTAATTAACTCAGTTGAAAACTCATTTTCTTTTTATAAATGAAAATAGAAATGTGGCAGAAGTAAMTTTGTATATTATATTAACAGGGGACAAGACTCACAGTTGAAATTCAAGCTTGAACCCTTGTTTAGCTCTGCTTTCTATTAAACTGCTTTCTTCCTCACCCAAAGGGCAACACAACATTAAGTGAACGCTTATTTTGGAATAAAAGATTAGGCCCAGGGTGGGAGATACTCACACAATCTCCCTAGAAACTGAGATGCAGAACTAGCAGTAAGTGTAGGTGCATCCAGACAAGAAAATGTATCTGCTGGGCTTAATTATAGAGGGAAATAYAGGAGTAAATTCTCAAACACAGGGCAGTTGAATAATATTTGTAATATATATAAAATATATAATAATACTGTGTAATAATATATATGGAATTGTCAAACATATTTATACAATACACACAGTAATATATTTTTTTGTGCAACTTATATCTAAATATCCCACCTCTGACTGAAGTTTGAATCTCAACATGAGGCCAGGTAAGGGAGGGAAATTATTATACAGCTAAATGAGGGACAATTATCCGGCACTACTGTGCATTTCTGCAATTTCATAAATTTACCTTCATTAATTTTCTGTGTCTGTTCCCTTTGAAACTGCTGGACAAGGTCTCCAGCACTGCTGCAGAGTGAAATTCATGGTTTGGGCAACTGAAGCAACTCTCCCTGCCCAGCACTTGTACACATGAATTTTAGAGATCTCTTGCAACAGCTGCTTTTGTCTTCAATAGTGAGGGAAGAAGTGGTTTCACCTCTGTGCTGGTGTTTCAGAAGAAGTCTTGGTCATAGACCACAAACTGAGTTCATTCCTTGTCCACCAAGAGAGAAATTATGGTCTGTATTTGTGTGGCACACTGCACACTGTTCCACACTCGAGGAGCTGAAGAGGAGTTACTCACTTTGCAGCTACCAGCACAGTGTGATGTCAGGGGTTATCAGTGACAGGGTGACAGACACACGTGCCATTGTGTTATATACTCCAAATGGGACACGAGGTCCCCTCAGCACCCAATAAGAACCCAACTTTTGTAACATGATCACAGCTTTAGTCTTGTCTTTGCTGCCAGCTTTCTTCGAAGGGCTGGCTGGAGCTCTGCTCACCAGGAGTGRTAAGCACTGTGTTTTTCTTTCCTCAAAGTATTGTAAAAACTATGCTAATTGTCACCTTTCATCACAGACAGCTGGGCAAAATCTCTGCAAGTAGCCCAAATACTTCATCCCACAACACCTGGACATGGAATTCAACATTCACTTACTTTTTAGGGAGAAGCAACTTCATTAAGAGGAGCTTAACAGCTCACTGATCCTTAAGCAGATGTTAGATATGTGTGACAGCAAAGCTCAGCGATAGCACAAATGATGAGGGGCATATTTAAAGTCAAAAGGTCATCTGCTTTATGACTCACACATTCCTGATGCCAAACTYGGTTCCTCGATCAAGCCTTGCCACTTAACTGAGTGCCCAGAMTACTGCAACAGTATTTAAAACAATTAATAAACGATTGTTCTCCATGTTCCTGAAGGAAGCACTCACCTTTCCAACAAGGGCTGGAATATTCATCGAGTTAGTTGCAAAGCCCATGCCAAACACCATAGCATCCTCCACACCAAGGAACTTGGCCACRAGTTTCTCTAGTTCTACATGTTTGTCTAGGGTGCCTGCAAAAATAAGCACAGGAAATATTAAATCTCATTAAACCGTGAAAGTTATTACRACACAAAACATACAAAAGAACAGGTTAGAAGTGTGTCATTAAGCTATATGGCATTAAGTTCTAATGAAGGTTTTCTATTTGTATCCTGTGCATGTGGGCTAATGCAAGAGGTGCAAACCAGCTGTGACTAATGCTAACAAAYACTGCTGCTGGTAAGGCAGCAAAGCTGTTGCTGTGGGAAAAAGCTTCCTTTTCCCATAGTAACTTCTGTCATAGTTTATTCTGAAGATTAATTCTTTGTCTTTTTCCTTCCCCTACAATGAGGACAAAAAAAACCTCCTTTTTGCAGGAAAGTTGGGACAAACATTTTAGGCATTCGTGAGTTCTCTCCAGATGTGAAAMCAAAAACAGGTGACAACAAAATTCTTCCTTTTTATTGCATGCCTATATATGTGTAGAAAATTCTTAATTAGGATTTTAAATGGATAGACAAATAAAACCATTCTCACTCTTTTTCTGCTATTCCACTCCCCATATCTGATGATATCCTCCTTTTCCTTCCTCTGAACAGCAAACATAAAGGATAATATCACACTAGAGAGCCTTCTTTATTTAATGTTWATTATCTAATATTGGTGCCTGAAGTCTCCAAATGAGTAAGGTGCTCCAACTACCCAACAAAAGCAGTATCTTTCCTGCCCAGCTCTCGGTGGAGGATGACAAAATACAAAAGGCAAACAAACAAGAGTGGTGTTAAGAGACTGAGATAAGAAATAGCTTTGAACAGTAAGGAATCATCTCAACTTGCCAGCTCTCTAGTCTTTGTTGCCTGGCTGTGCATTGCAGGGACCAAGGCAGAAGGAACTCTTACAGGATGATCTGTGGGGAAGAAAAGACAGTGGCCTGTGGATTCTGACAGAGCATATCCCTTGTGAATAAGGATGTAATCAGAGCATGGAAGAAAAAAATTAGGCAAGTGAATATGTTACCTCACTTGCACTGTACAAACTGTTGTCACAATAATATAAAGTGAATTACAATGGATGGAASAAGAAAGCTGTGTTCACTGTTATGGATGAAGGGCAGATGAATGGAGGAATGCACAAGCTTGGCTCAAGTGTCTCAATAAGAATGAAGAGTCAGGAAGATGATCTTACCTTCACCATGGAGTGGGGCTCATTAAAAAAATCAAATATGAATGGGAGAACAGTTCCAGCAGTAGCATTAAGTCAGCTGCTAACAGTAAAGTAGTATTTTCATCATTTTTTCTCATTTAATATCTAAAGTAAGAACTATATCCATTTGGAAATAGAAGGTGAACAATATCTATCATGCAGTCAGGTAGCTCTCCAACCATCAGGGAGATAAGAAGCAAGGATTATGTGGCTTCTTGAAAAACCTGGATTACAGGGGCAGTAAAGAATAGCAATGCTGTGATTTTGCACAGAGCCTTCCTGGGTTGTGCTAGACCTGAGCCTACTCTAGCAGAACTTCAAAAGTGCCTCTGCACCTTGTAAAATATGCTTGTACATGTAGCTGGGTTGTCTCTGTGCTCTGAGAATTAGGTAATGGGACACAGAAATTGTGGCTCTGCAGAACTTTCAGGAGATGTGAGGTGACTCTGCATGCAGCTCCTTGAGGATGGATATTTTTTGAATTTGTGCATTCCAAGATACACAAGGATATGAGCTGGCTCTGCACAGAACCTCTGTTTAATAGCTAAGCTCCATGAAACACACAACAGCATTTCAGAGCTGAGCTGCTCACTGGAAATGTGGGTAAGAATCTGTCTTAACTTGTAAGTCCAGCAGGTCTCAGCACGTATTTCTGTGGCTAGCTCTGTATTTTTTGTAAACTTGGCCCAGCTAGTCTTCAGCCTGGTTAGAGCACTCATTGACAGCTCAGAGTTGCAGCACTGCCAGCTGCCTTAGTGTTCCCTGCAGATGTCATTTTGTCACTTGAGGGCACAAAAGGAAGATGAAGTCTGCAATGGAAGCTTGAAGCCAAGCACACGATGGTCACAGCCTGAACAAAGGTTTGGAAACATGAGAAACAAGCAGCGTGTGCTTTGCAAGGCAGGCATTTTAAAGCATGACACAATTGTCCCTGACTCGTCCAGGGATAAGTATGACACTACTGGGGTGGAGTTAAATTGCTTTTTGGGGTTGCATCACATGTTTTCTGTTTTTACAAACAGGAAAAGCCTGACTCAAAACAGACTGTTCTGTCAAAGCTCCTATTAGATCACCCACAAAGGAATAGCACGTTTTGGAGCTATCTTTATTGATTTTGTCACAATGAAGAATGAGACATTCTGAAAGTGACTGACTCCTACTTACTTTTAACTAATCCTAAGAGTGAATGCAGATGATATTGTACATCACTATTGCYTACAAATCCTGGAATACAATCAAAATTGGTTTGCAAAACAAAAACCTGAATGACAAGGATTTGCAAGACGAGCCCTGGTTTTGAATTATGTTAATTATCATGGCAATGTTGTAGGTGGTGGGTAAGGTGTTGCTGAAGCAGTACAACACACACCAGTACTGACAGTGGGAGGTTTCATGAGCTGTCTACACTGAATAGAGTTGAAAAAACCTATCATTATGCAATTATTTAATCATATCAGAAGAGCTTTCCACACAGGATCTCCTTGGACATTGTATAAATGGCACCAATTCTATCACCTCTCTCCACTGGAAGAAACAAGGGGTCAGACATGTGCTGCTGGGATGAGGMTTGTGCACTAACATTCCCAGCTGGTCACAGCCACCACCAAAACAAGCATAAGCAGCACTCCAGACAAATGCAAATTTGATCCAAAGGAACTGGCACAAGCTGAAACATCTCACCATCTCCAACTACGTAATTACAAAGCTCTTCATTAAATACAACCTTAAAGATGTCAAGTGAGGTAATCCTGGCCCTTGAATTGTTTTGTATTGTGCTAGATTCAAGAGCAGTATCATGATCTGATGAATGAAAGCTGATATACTAGCTAGATTTTTTTAATATGCAGATCTCTTTTATGCTTGCCCTATAAACAAACATCAGAATTCCCCCTACAGCTTGGYTTCACCCAACAAATGAGGATACAACTAAATAATGTATACAAATCACCAGAAATAATTCAAGACAAAAAAAAAGGTATCTGCTTCTTTAAGAGACAAAATTAAATGCTTTTGAAAGTTACTCTTCTCTGCTGAAGCTGTATGTAACACAGTACAGCAGGAGTTACTGTGATCTGAGATTATATAGGTATTAGGATCAAAGATCCTATCAAAAGTGGACTTTCACAATGGGAACCACCTCCACAKATTCCCACACTTCTCAAAGCAAATCCCCTCCTTTTCAAAATCTGATGGCCCAATCCCCTCCATTAASTTGCCACTGCACTCTGGTGACAGGGAGGATGAAGCACACTGTGTTTTGACAGGCTTTTTCACAGACTTACCCAGGCTGTTGGGCTGACAGTCACTGCCAGACAACTGAACAGATAAAGCTGGAAAATGGACTTCCCACAATCCATGCAGTCATTGCTTAGCTTTGACATTTTCAGCTTGGACAGGTGGTTTATGCCACTGGTTAGTCTGCTGAATACAGTCTTTCAGGTTCTCATACCCTAATGGCATGGACTGGTTGAACTGGCAACAGTATCTAGTGACAGAATTTCATGTTTGGAATTCCAAAACCCAAAGAAGAGAGGAAAATACCTGCTTGCCTCAATTTAAACAAAAGCTGGAAGAATAAACTGATGTAAGCAACAAGTCCTTGAAAGAAAAAAGAACAGCAGGGAATCCTATGCAGCCCTGATGTGACTCACCAAGGTGAATAAGAACCATTACACTATGAAAATGAGGGTTTGTCAGCAGCATCCTTAGGAGGGTGGGGAACAGAATAAAACATCTTGAACTTCCTTGTCACACTTGAAACTTAAGGTCACAAACTCACTCTGGGTAAGATGCTTGTCAGAGATGGAAGAGATCTGCATCACTGAAACACATACACATTTTTACAAAAAGCAAGTCTGGATGAGTTATTAATAGAAGGATGAAGAAACAGAWGCTGCAGAAATTTCTTTACACCATGTAACCAGAGCAGATGATGCAGATGGTATCGCTGTCCTACAGAGCCACTAGCAGAGGAAAGCCTCAATTTGTAGAACGAGACATGTTGGCAAGAGAGGGAGAGAAGAATACAGTAAGGTTATGTAGTTGCCTCATTTAACACTGCATGTCAGAAAAGAGCCCCAAAAGAAGTGGGYTTTGAGGGATCATTTGATAGAAAGGAAATGTTCAAGTTTTCTTAACATTGCCACTGGCTGACAGGGCTTTCACACCACCAAGATGCCGTCATAGATCT